GCATTGTGATTGGCAGACGCGTTGCAAACTCTTAGAGGCACGCCATTGTGAATCGACCGTATTGCATTACATTTTGTTGGGTGATGTAGAAATTTTGACTGCTACTATGTTTGAGCAGTTTGCTGGTTATTAAGTGAACCAATTCACTTTAAATTGCCTACAAAAAATGTAAAAGTGCAACTTTTGTTTTTATTTAGTGGTGCAACAAGACTCTTTAGCCATTATATCTGTTTGTGTGCGGTCATTTCATTCCACTAACTAAATCTCAGGCTGTCATTCCAAAAAATTTCAGTTTTCGTCTAAAAAGTGTGCATCATTCTATAGACGGCCATGTCTCTTATTTTCTGCCATGCTCTTGGTGTTTAATGTGCTACCTATTCAATCTGTCAACACTGTTGCATTTGTATTTCCGAGTCATGCTCCCGCATAACAGTTACTGTTTTTACTACTGTCCGACTGAGGTAAAACAAAAGCAGTCCATTGAAGTTGATTTACATGCATTGTAAACATTTCCTGTGAGAGAGGCATACCCATGACAGTTCGTGACAGAACGTACTTGCAGAGTCACTTTGGAGTAGGGACCACTGTACACCTGGTAATACGAGAACGAGTGGGCCTGCAAGGTGCATGTATGTTTAGAATCGTACCGCGCAGCAAAGCTGGTGAATGCTTTCATGAATGTTAATCATGAATCAAGTGATTCTCACCAGTCTTCACCGGTGGCGTCATGTAACTTGGCATTCGTTCGCATGCTCGTCATGATCTTTGCACAGAGTTGGCAACTTTTTTTTTTTTTTTAGCCCGTTCTGTTTTCTGTACTATATAGACTGTCCGGAGAAAGTGTAGTCGATCACAACGTTACTGAATTCCTATGGTGACATAATTAGGTTTTCTGTTGTTTTTGCGCACAAATATGGATGTATGTGCATCTGTAGACCGCCCCCCCCAAAAAAAAGATAACCAAAGCTGAAATAGGGATATTTGGAGAACTCAAGCATCTTCTCGTTTTTGGACTACACTGCCGGTACAGCGTGTACAGACTAAATTGTGGCTGTATTCCATGCAAGATTAGAGTAGTGGTACTGTAGGATATACATGTATGGCCATATTTACTAGGTCGTTGCTTTACCCAGGGGGTTAAACCAGTCTTCACCCCTTTGTACATGGACATGCATGGTGCAGTGTGAACCTCTGGTTACAATTAATGTTAATTGTTGGACTTATATGAGTAGCAGCTTATGATTCTCTGATGTACATTGAAATTCTTTCTAAGGATGGATTTTGCATCGGGGAGATGTTAATTTAATATTGTAATACTTGGTGTGAAATGATACACGCACAACATACATGTACTTGAAATTACCTTTTGCACCGGTACATGTACCGATATGTGCGCAAAGAGGGATACACATCAGAGAGTGTTGCTTGTGGGGGTTTGATTGGTGTTAGTAGGGGTTTGATTGGTGTTAGTGGGGGTTTGATTGGTGTTAGTGGGGGTTTGATTGGTGTTAGGTGACATTGCTGCTGCAACAAGAGTTCCTGATAGACAACAACGTCACACTATTGAATGAGGAACTGGACCAGCCAGGATTTTATCAGTAAGTATAAGGACTGAAGGAGAACATGTCACAGTGATGTCGAGGTGAAAGGGGTGGAGCTTGTTCTGCTGGGCTGCAACCCACATTGTTTTCTTTATGTTTTTATCAGGGAGCGCTTTTGACTTTTTTTTTTACAGGTTTGGGGACACCGGGTGGCGGAGGACTAGTCGTGAAGTTTATAATGGTTTCACAAATTTGCATATATACATGTATGTGCCGGTACATGTATACGGATACAGAATTAATCAGTGTTTTATGTAGTGATTCCGTATGATGTACTGGTATGTCGCAGAATTTCAAAATCTGGGGTAGAGGATGCAAGTGAATTTCTATTAAAAAACAACTTTCAAATCTTTTTGCAATTCCGTAAAAGAATCCTTTGTAGCTCTGTTTCTAAATTGCTGGTGGTTTCATTCAAATAAAATCAGAAACATGT